GCGTGTGATAGGCAAGGCTGTTCCTGCCTCCAGGAGCTGGAGAGGAATTCTAACAGTCCTGGATGGTGCAGGCTGAATGCAGTAGTGTGAAGCAGGATACACATTTTGATGCTTCCAGGATGGAATGTATGTGTCGGATATGAGAGAGTGGCAAGGACAAGGGAGGCTCTGGGGATGTCAGGGTTTGAATATGATCCTGCAGGCCGGTGGCTCTTTCGCTTGAGTTTACATCTGGGGGACTCCTTCAAACGGACCACTGCCCACCTCCCAGTTTCTCATTCAGAAGTTCTACGGTGGGACCTCCCCTGAATGGCAAGACTCCAGGTGATACAGCCGCTGGGATGCTTCAGCATGGCTCTGAGGGCAAACGTGGTAAGCAGACTGGAGGAAACAACCAGAAGCAGAGAGCTGGGAAGCTGCTGAAATCACTGGAGCAAGCAATTCGTAGAAGGTCTGGCTGCTTATGGATCTGGGCAATGAATGCCTGGACACACAGGGCAAAGAGAGAGTGGAAGGAATCAGGGCGCTGAGAGCTTTGGTCACTGGCTTGTGAAAACCAAGGACCGCCCTTATACACTTCCAGGTCACAACACGTGCCCTGAGGGTACCAGTTGGTGAGCTGTCCCTTTACAGTGAGGCGGAGGTGGAGTCTGCATTTAGGATCAGAAAGTCAGTCCAACAGAGGGGTGGGTCTGGATGCCAGGCTGGAGGGGCTGGGAAGCCAACGGGCCTGGCTCTTCCAGCCGCCTGAGACAAAAGCAAAAGGGTAAGTAAAACAATGGAAGGGCTTGAACTGTTTTACTGTTTACTTATATATTATGTACTCTCTCTCTCTCTCTCTCCCTCTCTCTCTCGTCTCTGTGTGTGTCTGTGTCTGTGTGAGCCATGAGATGCTGATAAAGTAACATCATGGGCTACAACCTCACCATAGCTTGTGTTGGGGGATCAGAGGACACCTTGTGGGAGGTGGTTTTCTCTCCTCACACCACGTGGTTTCAGGGAGCAACCTCAGGTCTGCAGGTTGGGTGGCAGTTGCCCTAACCCACTGAGCCACACTGCCAGCTCACAGGCTTATTTGTATACTTTTGGTTGTGAGTCTAGCCTTTAACAGCTGAGCCATTTCTCCAGCTCCTAGGCTTATTTTTAAGGGGAGAAAGGACAAATAGATGTGAGAAGAGGCTCGGCAATAGAGGTGAGAAGGAGATGGGAAAGAACACCGCCTCAGGGGATGCGGAGAGGCGTCCTAGCTCAGGGGAAAAAGGACCCTGATCAAGAAGGCTAGGGACGTGGAAGGAGAGGACAGAGGCAGATGTGGATTCTAATGTGGTGGTTTGAGTGGGAATGTCCCCCCTAGGCTCAGATGTTTGAACTTGGCCCCCCCGTTGGTGGAGCTGTTTGGGTAGGCCTAGGAGGTGTGGCCTTGCTGGAGGGAGTGTGTCACTGGGGGTGGGCTTGGAGGTTTTAAAAGGCTCAAAACATCTCTCCTATACTCTCTGCTTCCTGCTTGTGGTTAGAGGATGGGCTCTCAGCTGTTCCTGATGCCATGGCTGCTGTCTACTGTCACGATTTCCTGCCATGATGGACTCCTGGCCCTCTGGAACCAGAAAGCCCAATAAAACCTTCCTTCTGTAAGTTGCCACAGTCATGGTGTTTCAGCCCAGCAATAGGAAAGTAACTATTACACACGTGTGGACTGGAGGTAGGGACGCTCAATGATGGTAGTCTTTATTTACTTGCATGCTAGATGAGAGGCCTTATTCTTTCCTTTCCCTCTGCATGGTGGAACCATAGCCACATTGGCCTGGTCCAGACAGGGGCTTCTTGGTAGATGTCAGCTTCTCTGAGTCACTGGGAAGATGACAGGTAAGAAAGGGAAGGCCCCACAGGGGCTCTGCAGCCCTGGGCCACCTGGTGTCCTGGGGGCACAGCTGGGAAGGCTGGCAGAAGCACAAGGTGATTGCCTGAGTGACCAGATGAGGTGCTTTGTCCTTCAAATGTCCTATCCTCTCCAGTCTTCATCTAGGGCCTGGATAATAACAAGCAGTGTCATGTGGGGCACTGGGCCTCATGTTCTGACATGTCAATGATTATGTACACTTTCCATATAGTCTGAGAGTGTCCTAAATGGAGCATGACCTCCTGGGTTCTGGGGTCTCCACATGAAGGTTCCTTTTGTTTGGAAAATCTGACTTGTTCCTTCCTAGCTCTTCCTACATCTTCTCATTAGGCAGTGTCTCCCAGGAGGCCTTCTCTTGGTCTTCCCTACCTACCCCAGCTCTTAAGAAGACACTTTCTGCACTATGCAGTAATTCCAGTTTGGGGACTGTGCTTCCCTTACACTGTGATGATTTCTGGTCTAGAACAGAACTGAATTTGTCTTTGAAGTCCTAGGGGCTGGCTCAGGGCTTACACCTCACTAATGCCTGGCCAACAGCTTGGTGCACAGGGGAGGCTGCAGTCTGCCTCTGAGAAGAGCTTTTAACTGAGCTGTATCTCCCATCACAGATTTACCCCTCTCCCAAACTCCACCCTCCCTCTTAGCCTTACTTCCCTACCAGCGCCTTGCGTGGACATGCTTATGTTGGGAGGCCATTAGATATCCTTGCTGGTTTGATCAAGGCTCCTGGGACCAGGGAGGTAAAAGGTCTTTTGGTAACCAGTTTGGAGCTATCTCTGCCACTGTTCAAAGTGGTTATACACGGGGAAGGGCAGAGCCATCAACATCTTGCAGTCCCACATCTTCCCTGTTCCCAGTTCCCTCCTGTGTATTGGAAAAGTACCTGCCATAAGCAACATAGCAGCAGGCAGCAACTGCCGAGTCTCATGCCTGTGTCCCTTCCCAGCAAACAGAACACTAAGACACTTGCGATGCAGAGAAAGGCATGGATATTACTGGTGTTACTGGTAGATCACTCAGAAGACCAACGCCATCCTTGAGTGTGGTACCACAGAAAGCCCACAGGACTTTAGAAGATTTTTTGTCACCTTCCCTCTTCCCATCACACTCAGAAGGTGTTCTCCCTGATACAGGCTGGCCATGTGTGCCCGGGACAGGGCTGAGCACACCCCCCATTGCCTCATCCACTGTGTCAGGATCTTGACCTAATGGCTGCCAAGGCCAAGCTACCAGACCAAGTGGCAAACTCCTTAGTCTTCCTGGGAACAGCTCCCCCATTTCTGTTGACTCTCCCTCCTGCCTTGGGGAGACAGGAAGAACTTTGATTCCACTGGCCTTGGTGCTCTCGGAGCAGAGGTGACCACACCCAACTGGCTGCTGCACATCTCTGGTCTGCTGTCCCCAAGGGATTTAGACTGCCCCACTTTCCCCCACACTGCCCCTCAGAAAGCAGGAGCTGTGTAGTGACTGGGCACCATGTACGGGAAACCCTCTGGCTCTCCTGCCCTGAGAAAGCCACAAAGGCTTTGATAGGTGTGTTACGAGTATTATTCTAAGTATTTCCACGTGGTCTCATCTTAGCGGAGAGTGGGCTCAGACCTCTGTTCTCTCCAGTCTCCCCATGCTGACTCCTCCTTGCTACTCCTAGAATCCTCCTTGTCTCCTAGTCCCGCCTATCTTGCTTTCCTATTGGCCAACAGTGCTTTATTCATTAACCAGTATGAGAAACATATTTACAGAATGACATCTCCCATCATAGGTGTCTATGGGCCAGCAGCATGTGGGCTGGTGAGCAGAGAACATGAATGAGAAGGGTGTCCCAAGGCAGATCCAATTCACTCCCATTCCCCCCCCCCCTGAAGTGCTTGTCTCCTAGCTTAAGGCAAACAGAAGGGCTGTAGGAATTCTGAAAGGAGGGGAGCCCTCCCCCAGCCCCATTCCTCCCTAGTTGGTTAGACAAGAGGCTTGTTGAAGCCAAACCAATCACCTGCTTTTTCCCTTTCCTTTCCTTTGGAGATCTGGGCTCTACCCAACATAGCCAGCTGCCTTGCTCAGCCTGGTTCTGAGATGGGCTCCCTTCCCGGCTGCCCCACCTACCTGAGCTTCTGGACCTGACTTCTGTCTTCTCTCTTGCTTGCTACCTATTTGACACTATCTGCACTTGGCCTTGGTTGGAAGGAGCTGTGGAGTCAAATCAAACTGCACTGAGACCTTCACAGGCAGGCTAAGCTGTTCTCACCCCCAACTTCTAAATCTGGAAGAACAACTAATTCCTTCCTGAAGGCAGAGGGCAATCTGTCATCAGTCTCCTGGAAGAGGCCTGGGCACTGGGAGATGAATGGCCTGAGCCCTCCTCTGGGCTGATGATGGCTGGAGGGGAGGAGACTAACATGGGGGATGGGAGACAGACTCAGACAAGGACTGAGTTGTTGGCAGGTGTCCCCACAGGCCCAGAACTGGGAAACAGAGTTCTAGGAGGGAGCCCAGTGGGTGGTCTACTAATGGGAATCCGACCCTACACTACCATCACTCCCTGAACACATGAGCCCAGACCCTGGCCAGCTCAGAGCAGTCAGCACAGAATCTAACCATATCCAAAGAGGAGAGACTTAGTGGCAGGCTGGAGACCAACCGACAGGCTAGCAGTGAAAATCTGAGGTAGAAAATGGTCTGGGTTCATGAACTGGGGAGCTGGCACCCTTGGATTGAGGTCGACTGCCCCTGTAGAATGACCCTGGGATCTCTAGAAGGCTTTCTTTCTCTGTTGAGAAGGAGGAAAGGCCATAAGAGCAGTCGGAACGCTGCCAGGGAGGCAGCTACAGACAAGGGTAGGAGTCTGTGAAACCTGGGAGTCCCCACGGGGCTGGCATAGGGATCAGATGCAGAAGCTGAGAAAGCACAAGCCCTTGGCTATCTGGAGGTAAGCGGCGGAGGGCAGGCATTCCAGCTCCGGGAGCTTGTTAGGGACCCTTGCTGGATTTGCTGTCTTTTAGCCTGGGTCATTTTGAGTTTACTATTTGTTCTTTGTGGGGTCCAGTTAGGAGTGCCTGCGGGGCTGGGGGGCTGGGGGCAGGAGAAGGGCTGCTTGCAGCAGGGAGCTCACCACTCTTTCCTTGTAGACGATGTACTTCAGCCACTTGAAGTCCTGCCATTTGAAGCCAGCAAGGACAAAGAGAGAGTCTCGTTCGTACTGCTCGGGCCGCTGCATGGCGCCCTCAGGGTAGGTGATGCGCAGGGTGGTCTTGCTGCCCACATCCCTCTCAAAGCCCTTCACAGGTGCCGAATTCAGTCTACAAAGAGCCAGTGCAGTCAGAGCTGGCCTTGGGCCTGTGTTTGGGGAGGTACCCTGGACCCCAAGCACCCCAAGTGCAGTGTAGGACTCCAGGCCACCTACTGGTTCATTTTAAAACCTGCCAATCCAGCAGCATTCTTGAGGCTAGGTAACCAGATGGTGAGACAGTTCTCAATGCCCAGGGCTCAGGATTTGGTCCACGACATGCATGTGCCCAAGGTGTTGTTCAGGGGAGCTCACCTGACCACAATGTCATAGTCGTCAATTCGTGACCCCAGAGACTTGTTGGCAAGGACCCCTCCATTGCCTACAATGATGCAGCGGCGGCAGTGGAGGCTGAGGGGAGAGAGCAGAGGCCTCTGAGGGTGCCCCCAGCTTTGTTCCCATTGTCTCTTTGCCCTCAACTCTACTGTGGCTTTGGCACAAGGAAGCTGGGCTCTGGGAAACTCACTTTCCACTGCTGGGCCCTGGGACACTTCTAAGAAAAATATAGGAGAGGTCTGGGGACCGGTTCAGGAAGCAAGGAGGGGGCCCTGGTAAGACTCTGTTCTGGGTAGAGGCTCCCTGTGGGTTAATGAGACTTGATGGGGACAGGGAAAGTGAGGGAAGCTTGAAGATCTCACAAAAGAGCAAGGATAGGCAAACAAAACTTGGTGCTTCAGGACTTAAGGCCAGGCTTAATTTCAACTCAAGCCTCTAGGCTTCCATAGCCCCTGATAGTCTTGCTCACTCTTGTCTCCTACCCTGACCTGAGGCTTTCCCCTCCAGGGTCTGTGGGCTCCAGAACTGCTCACCCCAGACTTAAGCTCTGTTCCCTGTTAGCTGCCTTTACCAGCAGCCCCCATCTTCAGTTCTTATTCCAAAACCAGTGATGTCTAAGGGCTGAGAAGCCTTGCAAAGTGCTTTACTGGGCAGACACACATCTACAGCTGTCCTACTTACACTCTACCCACAGTGTTACTGTGTGTGCGTGGGGAGGTATGGTAGAGAACCTGTCCAAACCCAGCAAAGAGCAGCTGGCCCACAACTCATGGCAGAGAGCCAGGGAGAAGGGGACGGGCTCACCTGTCCAAAGCAGGGGTCAGGCGGTACTCTTTGGTGACTGACAAGATGGCTTTGATCAGATTGTCTGTGGACAGAGGAAGAAGGTTACTGTTAGTGGGTCACTTACATTCCCAGAAAATATTTGCTAGTAATCTTCCTGGGAGGATGGGGGGGGTGGGTAAAAGGAGCTGTGGACTCAAGGGTGGGCTGGGCCGCTGTTTTCACTTTTCTCTTGAGCCAGGAGATGGAGGTTGGGAAGTAGGCAAATCTAGCTAGGCTCTAACCGCAACATGTACCTTCTTCCCAGGATCCTTCACCTTCCTTGGAGACTCACCTGTTTTTTCCATAGCTAGGGCATACATCCTTGGGCCAGGGCCTTATTTGGAATGGGAGTCTCTAGTTGGAGATAGATCACTGATGTCTTACCGCTGTGTCTCATGGAGCAGAGTCCAGGGGACAAATCAGACAACCAAGACCACTCGAGTAGATCATACAGCCTCCTCACTTTCCCTGATTCTGTACAGCCCATCCCAAACCTGCTCTTGACAAGCTGCCTCTTCTTCCTCACCCACCATGCCCTGCAGCCAGGGCATCTACCCACCAGCACTCCACACACGACTGTCAGCCAGGACCATGAGATCTCTGCTCTCTGAGCCTGAACCACTACTCAGATCTCATTGTCTTGACCTTGGGGTGACTGCTCTCCTTTAGACTCTGGTGCAATAAGAGCTTTATACCATAACAGAAAAGAAGCTGTTGGCTCAGTCAGATTCTGGCTCTGCTACGTAAGACCCTGTAACATGCCACAAATGGCTGTCTTTCTTTGGGCTTGTTTTCTTGCTTGCCTCTGAAAAAATGATGGCAATCCCTACTTGGCTGAGGTGTTGGGTCGATGTAATGTACATGAAGGTCTATAGACAAGCCGCTTGGCACTACCACGACAGAAAGCATCTTTGTAATAAAATAAGGAAACAGTGCCCACAGACAGAAAGAACCCTGAGGCTATCCTCCAAGGGCCCAGCACAGAAATGTTCACACAAGGAGACACGTGCGAGAGAATCTTCACTGCAGAACTGTTTGCAACTGCAAAATGCTGGAGGCAGTTAAAACATCCACTGAAGGAAAATTACATGTGGAACACAGACTACTACCTGTCAGTAAAACAATGACAAAAACAAAACACACACACACAAAACATCAATGAGGTATAGCTATATGTACCAATATAGATAAAGCTAGAATAAATATTTAAAATGTCATTTTAAAGAATGTATATATACACACACACATCATATATATATGATACATGAAAATTTCTAAAACTTAAAAAGGTCAACACACAAGCACACACATAGATCCATACTTTTTTTTTTTTTTTTTTGAGACAATGTCCAAAGCCCTGGCTAGCCTAAAACTCAAGATCAGCCTGTCTCTGCCTGCCCCCAGCTCTGGGATTAAAGGCATTCATCACCATGTCCCATAAAGAAAAAATGATTTATGTTTAATGGATATGTAAATAAGTAGCAAAAATAAAAACCAAGGCAAAGGAACACTAAACGTCAACATCAAAACAAGAATAATGGACAGTGGGCTGGGGAGGGTCAGTGGGTGGGACAGTAACCAGAAGCTCTCCCATAGCTCTGGCTTCATTTCTTTCCTTTTTCTATATAGAGGGGTTAGCTCTCAGGCATGTCTGCACACCTTCTGTGTGTCTGGTGCCAGAACTGGGCACGGGATGCCCTACGACTGGAGTTATACACAGTCATGAGCTGCCATGTGGGTGCTGGGAATTGAACCTGGGTCCTCTGGAAGAGCAGCCAGTGCTCTTAACCACTGAGCCATCTCTCCAGCCACACCATGATTTATTTTATAAATTAGGAAGACAGTGCATGGTGTCCATTATATTATTTTACTTATTTTATTAATTTTGAGACAGGATCTCATGAATCCAGCTGCAACCCTGATTTGTAGCAGCTGAAAGTGACCTTGAACTTGTGACCCTTCTGCCTTCACCTCTCAAGTACTAGGACTTCAGGCATAGGCATGAGCCCCCATGCCTCTTTTTATGTGGTCCTGGTGTCAAATTTATGCAGGCAAACACTACTAATTCATCTGTACCACGAGCCCTTTATTATATTATTCTAACTTTTTTTTTTTTGGTATGTTAGTTCGTGTAGCAAGCACTGGAAATAAAAAAAATACAACTTTGTCTTTTTGTTTTATTTGGTTTTGCTGTACTGGAGACTGAACCTAGAACCCTGCATATGCTATGTAAGCACTCTCCTACTGAGCTACACTGTAGTCCCTCATGTAATTTTTTTTTAAAGGTGGTAAACTGGGCATGGTGACACACATGCTTTTTATCCCAGCACACTGGAGGCAGAGGCAGGTGGATTTCTGTAAGTTCTTGTCCAGCTAAGGAAACATGGTGAGACTGTGTCTCAAACACACACACACACACACACACACACACACACACACACACACACACACACACACACACACAACCCACCTTCAGGTACAGATGAGGGACTGCGCATGGGCAGGATCTCCATAAGCTCCATGGGAGTGGGCCGAGGAGCAAACCTTTAACAAGGTTCTACACTAAGTGCCTCCAGATACACCTTAAAGTGGGGACATTTCTCACTCCCTTCTTGTCTCACCTCCAAATTTACCCCAAAGGAAGAGCTCATCATTATTAGTTGACCAAGGACAAGGGCACACATGGGGCTCTGCTTTCTGTGATGGGAACCTATTACAGAAGGGCACCGGTGTGGAGCCACTCTCTTCTTGCTGGCTGGGGATGCTAACGGCCTTTGCTGTCCTTTGGAGCTACACAGTCAGTCCCGAGTGAGGATTCAGGAGGAAGGACTCATCTGCCTGGATACAAGCATTGAGGAAGGAGGTTCACATATGACTTAAACTAAGCCACTGGATGTGCCTCTTGGAGGCTTGAGGTCGGTGCCCCAGTTCAACAGCATTTTTGCTGGCTTTTGTATTCTTTCCAGGGAGGGCTGGGCTAGTAGAGTAGAGGGCTAAGTCTCCTGATCAAATGCTGTCACCCCTTTAATGGCTCTTTTCTTAACCTTATACCACAGCATGTTTTCTATTTAGCTGACAGGGGAACCAAAGCTCAGGCAGGTTAAGAAAGCTTTGCAAGGTCACAGCTAGGCAGAGGTAATGTAGGGCTCTGACGCCTCCCTGACCTTCCCACCAAGCCCTGAAACAGCCAGGCACTTGACAAAGAAGCAGGGCTGTGTGGAAGGAAGGGGGTCCCTAAGGTGAAGGGAAGGGAAACTGGATAGAGAAAGGTTAGCTTGGGACAGAAAAAGAATGATTAGAGGGAGGCTAAGTCAGCATGAAAGACATTGGGCAGGGGTTACAGGAACCTGGTGTGTGTTATGTTGCTGTCTGTCTGTCTGTCCTTTCCAGGAACCTTTCCATGTAGCCACAGCGCTATGACAATGTCTCTAGAGCATCTCTTCTGCAATCTCATGACACTGGATCTGGTCCTGCTCTGAGTACCTGCTCCTTCACTAGAATAAAGCTAGAACAAACAGAGTGTATACACACATCACTGTAGTATACCCAGCTCCGGCCGGTGCAGAACAATCTCCAGCAGGGAACTGTTCTGTTGTTTTGATATGAGGTCTCATTATATAGTCCTGGCTGGCCTGGAACTTGCTATGTAGACCAGGCTGGTCTCAAACTCAGAGATCTGCTGCCTCTACTTTTGTGATTAAAGGTATGCACTGTACCACAATGTCAATCTCTCTTCCCCCCCCCACACACTTTTTGTGTGTGTGCATGTATGCACACCCTCTTAAAAATGGTTACCATGGAGTCAGAGAACAATTTATCATGACCGACTCTCCCTTCCACCACGTGGGTTCCAAACATTGGACTTACTGAGTAGCAAACACCTTCACCCATTGAGCCATCTCACCAGCCCCTAGTTCAGAACTTCCAGGGACACAGCTCTGTCTTGAAGTACAAGGAAATAGCATGGGCAAATGGGGTGTTTAATGTTTAAAGGGTTCCCAACATACCTTGGCCTTTGATTCCAAAAGGTGGCACGAACTCTCGGATCCTAGCCCACTTTCGAAAGGAGTCATCCAGGAACATGGGTGCTGGTTTGGAAAACCTGGAATACATCAAAAAATGCAATAGGCTACAGTGCTGGTTGGCTCTTAGGTACACAGCCTGGTGATGGGCCTGGGAAGCCACCCTCCACATTCCAGTACACCTCCCCCCTTCCTCAACCTTTTAGCTGGGTAGTTGCTGATTTTATTGAGTAGAGCTTGAGTCTGAGAAAGTAGGCCTGGTTAGCCTTTATTTGGCTGTGGGAGTGGAGGGACAAGATCTACTCAGCGAGGATTAATGTCTGAGTGCTGGAAGCTCTCTGGAGTGTTATCCAGGCATCCATCTCCACTCACTGCTGCCCACTATGTTCATCCAATCTGGGAACATGGGGATAAGACAGTGCCAGCAGAGCACAGAAGTATCCAAAACTCCAGCCGGTACGGGGAGGCAGAATGCTGGAGAGGATGCTGGGAGTCAGACCACCCAGGGTGAGGAGGAAGGCAAATTCACAGTGACACAGCAAAGTGGGAAAAGTATGGGAGAGAGAATTTTACTAGAAAAGAGAAAGAAAAAGCAGAGTCCTGTGATTAGGGTGCAGGGCCAAGAGGAAAGGTCAGACCAGCTAGAACTGGGGTATACTTGTTGGCGAACCCTAAGTTCCTATGGAGCTGGGGAAGTGACTAATAGGGTTTAAGCCCATAGGAAAGATGGAAAGGAAAGGGGAAAGAGAGGGGAGGGGGCAGAGGGGAAGGGAAGGGCATAGGAGAAAGGAGGGAGGGAGAAGGGATGCTGAGTTAGGAGGAGGGAGTGGCAAAATATTTCTCTTCTTGGGCAGGGCAGGGTGAAGGCTTGGGGACGATTCTACAGGTCACAAGAAATGTAAGGGACAGTGGACAATGTTATAGGAGTTAAGCTCTTTAGAGACACCTGGAGGACATTTCACATGGAACCAAGCACTCTGGTTTGAGACCTGCACAGCTGCAGCCTTGGAGGTGGCCAGCATACTGGTTGTGCCGAGAATCTCTTTGTGGGCGCTCCTGATCAAGAGTGAGGCCTAGGCCTCAGTTGACTACATACCTTTGCTTCTGACTCAACCCCAGTTAGCTCACTGCATAGCATAGCAGGAGGCTACAGGAAAGCATCTACCACACCCCTTACCTCCCACCCAGAAGCTAGACACTCCTTCCTCACATACTGTAACCTAAAGCATCCATCTCTTACCACCATCATCACTAACTCCACTAATCCACCATCCCAGGAGGAAGAAGCTAAACAGTCACTCAGAGGCCTAATATCATTAGAGGCCCTGACATGAAATTGAAGATGGGTCACACTAGTGTTGGGAAATGTACAGGCAAGGAGGCAAGCACACATACCCCAACCCTGTACCATAGACACAGTTACCCTTTTTGGCACATATCAAATCTGATGCTCCCTTGCACATATGATTTCGTAGATTGCTTTCTCCTAATTCATAGAGACTGGGTCCAACTACAGAACCTGGAAGCTGTTGACCAAGTGACCCATTTCAGTCCCCAAAAGGGACAAATGAAGATGTGACCAAGTAAAGTAAGAGTTGCCAAATTAATAAAGAGGCAAAAAAAAAAGTTCACAGGACAGACTGTGGAAAATTCATGAAATGAGCCAGATAAGCCTCATAAAAACCGTCCTTTCCGAGCATGTAACCTATTCTTTTCCTACTTTACGATGCTTTCAAACACTCACAACTCTGCCTATTCTTTATTGGGTCTTTGTGTTGTAGTTGCTTACCCTGTAGCTTCTTTTTATATCCCTTCAAGGAATGAGCCAGCCCCCTCCAGTGTTTTCTACTGCTGGGTGGCTGCACCCTTTTACAAACAGCACCCGTCCGACCTACCTTTGCAGTGTATATACTTTTTTTTAAAGACAGGATTTCTCTGTGTAGCTTTGGAGCTGTCCTGGTACTTGCTTTGTAGATCAGGCTGGACTTGAACTCACAGAGATCTGCCTGCCTCTGCCTCCCAAACACTGGGATTAAAGGTGTGTGCCACCACCGCTCAGCTTTTTTCCTTTGCCACACTGCAGGTACAAACCAGGTCTTTGTGCCCAGCAGAGACCTGTTCTACCAATAAGCTACATCTTCAGCCTTAATTTTTCTTTCTTTCTTTTTTTTCGAGACAGGGTTTCTTTGTGTAGTCCTGGCTGGCCTCAAACTCAGAGATCTGCCTGCCTCTGCCTCCTGAGTGCTGGGTTTACAGGTGGTTTGTTCAGACTGGGATGGAAGCACAGTCCACACACTACACTGATCTCTTTACCTCTTCAGACCATAGTTTGCTCCTTTCTCTCCCCCTCCATTTCAATTTGTGTCGAAGGAGAACACATTGCTTAGTCTATAGACATATATTTTCTTTATAGGACCTATTGTTGGCATGTTTCTTTGTCATCTGCCCTCTGTAAACTGCAGCTAGAGCTGAAGGCTTCATCAGATTCATGTTCTGTCCTCTAGGATGAGAACCTCTGGGACACACAGATGCTCCCTGTGGTGTTAAGAGCATGGCTTTGCACACAGTGCCTTTAGCAGTCTCTGGGGTGAGTGCCTAGACCTGCTCTTTCTTTTGATGATGGAATTAGAAGCTGTCATTAACATCTATAAGCATTCTTCAACTCTTTGGTCATTCCCAGGCACTGAGCATACAGGAAAGATGAAGAAAATGCCTGACTTTCCCCTTCATTTACCAATTTTCAGATGGTAAGGAGATGACCCTTTAGTGCCTTTCAGAGCAGATTAATGAGATTCTTTCCCTCATTAAGAAGTTATATATTTTATTATATTTGACAATGCCAATTCATTGTAACTATTACTCTTTGATGTTTAGAACAAGCTGTCTTTGGCTACTAGAACCTTTTCAGTTTGGATCTTGAATTGTTGGGTACACCTTTTCCGGAGTTGCTGGGTACACTTAGCAATCTCTGATAAAGATCTGGCCTTCTCCTGTGAAAAGATGTTCCAGATTTACTTAGTCCATTTCCTGGCTCCAGAGTGCTGGAAATAATTCAGAGAGATGCCCATTGCAGTGCCAAGATGCTCCTGTGCCTATAGGTTGCTCACAGTCCCCAGACCTTTTTAAGTGGACCAAACTAGGAAACGGCTTTTTGAACAACAACAACAAAAATAATTTGTAGTGATAGTTTCAATTCAAATTTAGGCTTACAAGAAATGTGCTTGCCTTCTATTTCAACTATTTTACTTAGACACAACTCACAACATAAAATTCATGTTTATTGACTTCATTTGATTTTATACTTGCTTCCCTTATTATTTACTTTTTTGAGATGGGATCTCAATATATGGCCCATGTTGGACTGGAATACACACACACACACACACACACACACACACACACACACACTGAATTTACTATGTGGTCCTAGAACTCACTCTGTAGACTGACCTAGCCACAAGCTCACAGAGATCTACCCATCTCTGCCTCCCAAGTGCTGGGATTAAAAGTGTGTGCTACCAATGCCCAGCCTGGCTTCTTTTTTTCTTAAAAACTATTTTTATTTATTTTTAATGTCATGTATGTTTGTGTGCCTGTGTGTGAGTATGTGCATGTGAGTGCAGGTGCCTATGTAAGCCAGAAGTATTGGATCCCCTGGACCTGGAGTTACAGGTAACTGTAAGCCACTCAATGTGGGAGCTAGAACTGAACTCAGGTCCTCTGTAGAGCAACACTGAGTTGCTTTATCCTAACATATACATATAGGAAACACACACACACAGAGAGGACATTTTCAGATCAGTACCAGCATCATTGTTCATGCTAAGTTAAAAAAATAAATTACATTCATTTAGTTGCTGTGCATGTGTCAGAGGACAACTTTTAGAAATTGACTCTCTCTTTCCACCATGTGGGTCCTGAACTCAGGTCTTCAGGAGGCTGCAAGCACCTTTATCCATTGAGCCATCTCTCCAGCCTACTCACTCTAAAACTACAAACAATTTAAGCTTCCCTTGCATTTCTTTTTGCCTTAGGGAAAACGTGTATGTATGACAAGTGCAGAAAACAGCTTTGCTTTTGCCACTAGAAATAATTCCTATGAGTTGAATTCATGAATTCGGTTTTGTTTCGTTTTGTTTTAGGCTGCTTTCTTTATTTTGGTTGAATTTTATCTTTTGATGTTATAAAGCTTTATATAGTTCCCAACTTAAATTCACAAAACAAAATATTCAGAGAAGCCACCTTTCACCTGTGCCTGTCTCCCATCAGGACCTCTATTCCCTCATGGTTGTTTCTTCCTTCTTCCTCCTCCTCTTCCTCTTCATTCTCCCTCCCTTTCCCTTCCGCCTCCTTCAAACTTGAAAGCCTCAGCTTCTTAAACACCATTCCATTCCCAATGGCAACATGTTATACTCATTTGGACTATTGATTTTTTTTATTTGCCTTCTCAGAGATCTTCCTGCCTCTGCCTCCAGAGTTCTGGAATTAAAGGTGGGTATAACTACTGCCAACCCTGACTATTGATTTTTTAAAATAAGCAATATATCCTGGGACCATCCTGTAACATATGCTGGGAAATATTCCTTGATAGTTACATACCATGTATAATGCAGTCAGTTTCTTTGTTTCCACTGTTTTATGAAACAGATTCCAATGGCAGTGGCTTCATATCAATAGCTCCATATATATTTTTTTCTTTTATCAATAGCTTCATATATTTTTTTCTTTTCTTTGGGGGGCATCATCTCACTATGTCCAGGCTAGCCTGTGACCCTCCTGTTTCAGACTCCTAGGTGTTGAGATTATAGGTGTTTGCCAGCACACCTTGCCCCATGTATCTTTTCTGTTTGCCAATAAAAGGGTCCCAGGAGTGTGTCTGCTGAGTCGAAAGCAAACTGTGTCTGTGTACTCTTGTTCCCCAGTGCCAGACTGTGACATAAGTTCCACTCCCCAGACTGACACACTGGAAGAAGACATTGTTAAACCAGTTTTGACACTCTGATAGCAAAGAAACGGCATCTCACTGTCACGTTATTTATTATTTACTTTGGGGCTTTTACAATTTTATTACTTTATGTGT